CCGCCCCCGCTGGCGGCGATGCCGCAGGTGCCTGCAGTAATAGCACCTGCATGGAAACACTTTTGCCTTATTCCGAGGTAAGGGTGAACTATACAGCATATAGCTAGCCATGCCAGCTCTAGAAGAGGTTAAAGTGAAGTCAGCGCTTCAAGGACTTCCCTGTTGTTTCCAAAATGGCAGTTTTGGAGAGTACGCCTGGCTTCAGAAGGGGCTCTGTGGTTGTCACGAAGTGACACTGACCACTTTATGTTGGGCTTCACGGTTTTCAGAAGAAAAAGCTGAAGGTGTCCCCAGGTACTCTCATAAACGAACAGGTGTTTATCTCCATGTTTAGGAACAGGTTCTGCTGGTGTTTGTTACAGAAAATAAAGTTGTAACTGCTTCATGCCTTACCGGAGTAGAAGGGCTAATAACATTTCAGGTAGTGTGAGGCCTTTGGGGAAAGGCATTAGCAGCCACCTCACGCCAGACTTAATTGTACTGAGGTTGTAACTCCATGAGCAGCTCAGTCAGCCTAGTGACTGTCACTGAAATTAGAAGGTCCCGCTGCCTTTTCGTCTGTGTCTTCTGGCTCTGCTTCCACCTGCAAGCTCCGATCTGCTTGCTTGTGTCACTGGAAGAGAAAATAGAGAAAGGGGAGAAAGAGGAAAGCAGGCTGTTCTTGTGGTGTTTAGTCCTTGATTGCTGACACCTGTACCCTGCTCGCATGAGTTAGATCACTTTGTTTAAAACTTGACCTTCAGAAATCCCTACTCTTGCTGCTTTGCTTGCCCTGTCTTGCTCTGTTAAGTCATTTGTGCATTTGACTGTGAAGTAATTGATTTGTCCTGAGGTGTTTTGTAGGAGACTTAGACCTTAAGAGGAGGGAAGCTGTTCAAGGCAGTAGTGTGTCATCAGGGCATATAAGTACTTTTGAAAATGGCGTTGCCAGTGCGGACAAGACCGTGAGGAAGAAAGATTAGAGCGATGATGAAGCAGTGTGGAGAATAAAACATTTATATTGCAAACTTTGTAAAAAGGAATCTTCTGAAAAGAATGCTTTGTTAGATAACTAGTTACTCTTGTCTTTCCAAGACTACAACAACAATGAAAATTAATGAACTAAGTTTTAGACATTGTCTGGCACTTCATTTATGGATATTTCAAAGCCATAAACTGCTGCTTCCTAATATTCCAGCAGACTTTTTTTTTTTTTAAGGCTGGTTTGTCTGAAAATAATATGTCAGTGATGCTGAAGCTTCATGTAGCATTTTGTTGTCAATGTGTATGTTGTTCCTGTTCTGTGAATAAGCAAAGAAATTGTACCTGTGTTGTGTGTACAAAGAGTGTTGTTACTGTGCTCTGGTATGGTGCCGTTAAAAACCCTTCTTTCCATCGTCATAGCCCTTTCTGTAAGGTGCAATTTTTAGACTGAATTTAGGCAGAAGTATGTGAAAAGGTTACTTCACCAAAGTTTGTTGTCAGTTAAGTTCACAGTTATGGGGCCAGGGGAAGCTGCCTGTATTTAGGAGGCAGTAATTCCTGGGGATAAAATTATAAAGTTAACTATATTCTGCATGTCTGTGTGTGTATCTGTAGATAAGGTTATTTCCACAAGGAAATCTGTATTCAAGTTTTTTTTTTTTTACAATTTAAAAATATGTACTAGACTTATATAATAAGATTCTAGACTAGCCGTAGATATCTATATTAATTTTTTTAAATGATTCAGCATTTCTGCAACTTCATTTTCCAGAACATTTGCTTACAGTGAGAGCTGGTTTAGCCCTTTCTTCGGGAAGTGTGTTTATAAATGGATCATTAACTTTGCTAAGGTGTGGTTTGCTTCTCCCCGCCCTGGGATTTAGCAGTCTGCTGTTCGTAGGTTGTGTATAGTTCTTATCTGGATCGGGAAGTAAAAGTAGAAGTAAAATGCCTTAAACTAATTGAATGTATTCAGAGAAGACAAAATTAGAGAAGATAGTTAGGATGCATGATTGATACGAAATTTGTGAGAAGGAAACGAAAGCTGAGACAAAAATGGAGCACTATTTGTATCTGGATTTATGATTGTGGTGCATTTAGAATGCTTACTGGAGACAAATGAGATGATTTTGAGAGCCTGTAAATCAGCGTAGGTCAGTTATTTGGGTAAAGCAGCTGCTGGTTGAGGACAAAACAAATAGCAGTTGGAATGTTGCAGGGGCGAGTACACTGTCTGGTACGCTGATAGCTTGGAATAAAATTTCTTTTCATGATGGGAGAAAGCTGACTTCTACTTTTAATTACAGAAAAGAAGTTCAGGACACAATTGAATTATGCATTTGTATGTTCTGGTTTATTTTATAGGCAAAGAAGTTAAAGTTTTGTAGAAAAAATATATTTGATATTTTGGACAAGGCTCTCAGGCACTCCGTTTGTTAAAAGGAACTCTGTGTAATGCGACGGACTAATTCCTTGGTAAGAGAGTTCTTGGAAAATATGAAGGTTAATAAAATTTTCATGAGGCTAAAGATTTGTTCTTACACCTAGAAAAATGTAAGTAACAAATACACAGTATAAAAGTGACAGACCTGGCCTGTATTACATCCTGGATTCAGGTATTCCTAACAAATTCATATTGGTAGCCGCTATGGAGTGATGAGAGTTGTGCGATTTTATAGAGTGTGTATCCAAAGAAGTCATAGGAGTTTCTACACCAGGCTAAGCAGACCTAGAACTTGTTGAAAACTGTGGATTGTGTATAAGAGGAAGGATGTTGAATTGAAAGCAACCCAGAAGGCAAGTTTGAGGAATGATAATTGATTTGGGGAGTTGTATAAGCAGAAAAAGGTTCAGGAGAACTGAGCTTGAGTTCTGTTGTGTTTAGCAGCATGAACAAAATACACCAATTGCATGCCTCTTGAAATGTGCTTTTTGCTTAAATAACTTTTAGACGAGTGTTTTTGTCAGTTTATTAGAGGGAATGGAGTGTAAGGTTTTTAAGTTGCTATGAAGAATGTCAATGCTGCAAAAAGAACTTGAGCATGTTGGAAAGCTAACACATGCAGTACTTATCTTGCAAAAGAACTTGTGTTGGTTTGAAAGAGTCTGTGTAGGACATCTTTGCAAAATATTAACCATGAGAAGCATGAAGTGTGACATCTTGGGAGCATTACGTGCTATGGAGTATTAGAGTTAGTGAAACTGAAATGAAATGAAGGCTGGATGAGCAGGTAGGCTGCTCGGCTGGAAGAAACTAGTGAATTCTGAGGCACTGGAAGTTGGGGATGGAGATGGAGTATCTTGTGATACTGTCATGCCAAAGGGACTTGGACATAAGTGACTATATTAATATTTATAAACACTGAAGCAATAGGTGTACTTTTTGTTGTATATGCACTTAGTAATCTGAAACTTCTTACGCTTCTTTCACTTGGCAGTAATCACTAAATGTGTGCTGAATTTGCTCATTTATATTTTAGGCTTCTGTTTCTCTTTCTTTCATTTTTTCATTTGGGAAGAAGGTCCAGCTATTTTAATAGAGAGCAGTAGTCATCAGCGTAATCTGAAATTCTGTTCTTTGGGAAAAGAGAACAGAATAATCAGCCTTCTTTATTCCTGTGTTTATAAACACTGGGTTTTAAAGTGTTCCCCAAATCTTCTGACTTTCAATTAATACATAGCGCTGCTGTGAGACCAAATCTGCATTAGCCTGATGACATCACTCCTGAAAGTTGCAACTTGGTTCTGATGATTTGTAAAAGCTGTGGGTCATAACGAGATGCTGTGTCCTATTGCTGGATCCTGTAAAAGGTTTTTAATTGACATTTCTCCCGAATTTGTCATAGTGGGAAAACATAATGGATACTTTACTTAAGATAACTTTTAATTCCCGAAAGAACTGCAGTTTTCTTAGGCTTATTGTGGAATGCTAGAGAAAGAACAAGGATATCTGAAGTTAGCATATCTTTTAAAATAGGTCTATTTGTGAATGTGTTGGTCCAGCTGCCTTATCTTAAGTAGCTTAAATTTTTTGCTTGTGCACAATGCATTTAGTGGAAGAGTTCACTAAAAAAATAGAAACCAAGTGAAATATTTACAGGCCTGTGATCATTCAGACTGATTTTTATGGAGCTGCTTATTATTAGCAAAAATGAAATTTAGCTTCACCTTTCTGAAACAGGTGGGGACAATTTGTGGTCAAAAATTCTCTAGAGGTATTTATCAGCAGGGTTTTTTTAATTCTTTTTTTAGGTCTCTAAACATTTGAGTATAAACAGGTGAACTTTTTTTTTCAGTAACGATTTTCTTCCTGTAACTGGTAAACTGTCTATCTCTGTTTCTTCTTACAGAGCTAAAATCATCAGTATTTGATGACTGCAGGAAAGAGGAAGAATGGAAGGTACAGTTTTGTTATATTTTTTTTGTAAGAATATTAGAATCACTTCAACAAGTAATCTCTGTCACTGAGTATACAACAAATAAACATCATGTAATGGCTGGCAGTTTTGCTGAAAATTGTTTCCTATCCAGTTAATGGATTTTAGTTCTGTTAACTGAGATTTCTCTATAGTACATAGAGAAAAATCTAAGGGCTGGTATAGGAAGAACAAATAGTAGTTGTTTTGATTCTTTAAGTTTTGAAAAAAAAATTAGAGACTATTTCTGTTTATCTTCACTTTTGTTTTGGAAGACTTGTACTTTATTAATTTCAGCAATTATGCTGCTGTGCAATACCTGTGGAGCGGGATTCAGCAGTACAATACCTGTTAGAGCTGTTTAAGTTGTAAAACAGTTTTAGAATAAGTACAGATATATTTAAGCAGGCCAGGGAGTAAATTAACAGGAATTCAAAAGACTTGTGTTAAAGTGAAAATTTAAAAATATTTTCTAGTAGTAGTGGGGACAAGCTACTTATTTAAGATGGTGCTCATATTTTGAAACCCTGTATGTAGGGAGCTGCCTTCTGATGCTATTTGAGATTAACTTCCAACTGCAAAGTTGCTATATGCAGGTCATGGAAAGTAAGAGAGATTTCAACTTCAAATTTCCATGGCAAGTTGTTAAGGAAGTAGCATGAGTTTACTATAGCTGAATGATTTATCTAAATACTTGTGTTTTTTAAATGTATTTAGATAATTCTTTTAGATGATTACACTACTAAATTACTGTCACTGTGCTGCAAAATGACTGATCTGCTGGCAGAGGGTATCACAGGTAAGCATAATTCTTTTTAATATACAGATGGCAATATCCTGATAAGAAAAAGGGAAAGAATAAAATTGTACCCTTGCAAGAAATTGTCTTAATTTGGTTGATGAAGACAAGTAGCTATGGGATATTAGACTAGCAGACTTCCTGGCTTCTACAGTAATGACCCAATTGCGATTTTTTTTTTTGTTGTTGTTGTTTAAATGAAAAATCAAGTGTTTCTCTGCCTAGAAACTAAAACGTTTTTTTTGATCTTTTGGCTAAAGATCATTGTAAGTTGTGGGTTTTGTTTTGTGGCTATGGGGGGTTTTTTTGTATGTGTTTGTTGTTGGCTTTGTGCTTTCTTAAAGAATTTTTGTTTGGTTTGTTTGGGCTTTTTTGTTTTGTTTTGTTTTTTTTTTCTTGTTGGAGGGGTGAGTCAGTGTTTGTTTGCTAATCTCCAGGATGGGAGAAATGAGAGTTATCTGTCAAAGTGATTTTAAGGAAACTATCTCTCAGTTGAAGTTAAGGGAAAACAAGAGCTCAGTAAAGAATTAAGCGAATGTTAGTAAACCATACAAGAATAGGCAGATTACTGTCTGTTTTTTCCTGATGTGCTAATTGGTAATATCTGCTGCTTTGAATTCATTTATGCTCATGAACAGTAGAGTTAGGATACAAGGGCAGAGAAACTTAAGTACTGAAGACAAAATGAGAACAGGAGACAATAACAAACTAACTGATGAGAGGTGTCTGCAAGCAAGTGGATATGATGGAGGCAAGAATTTAAATTTGATTTCTATCTTAGGCAGATATATTTGAGCCTTTTCTCAAAACAAGAGAGCTTTCCATAATTTAAAAAAAAACAACAAACCAAAACCACCAACAAAAACCCCAAACAAAAAAGAACAAAACCTTGAAACTAAATTGTATCAAATGATTACTTTAACTAGAATAAACCTATAAACAAGATTAACACTAATTAGACACTCACTTTTCCAAACAATTTGGGAGTAGTTTCTAGTGGAGTGGAGTTTCTCATCTGCTGGAATGTCTTTCCTGTTCCTTGATGTAGGCCTCTGTCAAAAGTGAATAATAGATAGATTGTGATAGCTCTCAGTTATGTAGTATACCTATTTAGATAAGGCTTTATTTTTCTATGTGTATTTAAAAAAGTAGTTTCTCTCTAGTAAATTTTATGGGCTTTTCTTCCCTACAACTTAAAAAAAAAAGGATGTTTTTCCTATCATAAAACACTTTTCAAAGTTGCTTTTTGTGATT